CCGTCCCTCAACCACCGACACTGATATTTGTACTTATAATACAAGATTCTCAGATATATAAAGTTCAAATAAATTTATTTTCTTCTTTAAAATTTAAATTTAATTAAAAATTAAACTCCAAAAAAAATAATTACCATTATCTTAATAATAATTATAAAATAATAAAAACATATTATAGTTTGTTACAACAAATTATATTTTTTATTAAAAAAATCTTTATATTTTAATTTTATATTTTAACACTGTAAAACTCAATTATAACATCAACAATGCTTTCCTTTTATTAAAATTTATATTTTAAAGTTTTCCTATTAATTTACACCCACATTTCAAATATGTAAAATATATATCTTAAAATTAAACTATAATAATTAATATTTCAAATATATGAAATATAAATACAAGGATACCTTGATTATTAAAAAAATATTAAATATTAATTAAACAATAATCATTGGTGTAATCCTAAAAGCATAAATAAAATTTACTCATCCCAATTTTAAAGTGTGTAGTGTAGTTCAATTAGTTAAGTTTTAAATTTATTTTTTTAGATATTATCAATTTTAATTATATAAATCTTAAAATTATTAAAAATTTATATAATTATTAATTGTAAAATTTATAAGATTAGCTAGAATACATGTACATTCATTCTAACACAATGTTAATAATAAAGAAAAAAAATTACTCATCCCACGTGACAACTCGAATAAAACGATTCATTCTTTTTTAAAAGCAATAATAAAGAAATTCAACTACGAAAAGAAGAGAAAAAACATAAAAAAAGAAAAACGAAAAGAAGAGAAAAAACATAAAAAAAAAAAAGAAGTTTCCGCTTTATACCATATTCACGTACTTAATCGCTAAGCTTTCCTCCTCCCGTACCCCATATAAATAGCAGTGTCCGCCAACTCAAAATCTATAAAAACTGGGAGTCAAATGGCAATGGTGAGTTCGAGAGAAGAAGATGCGTCGTTGTACGTGCTGCCAGAAGCATGCATAGCCGACGTTCTGTCCTTTACTTGTCCGAGGGATGCTTGTAGACTGTCTATGGTGTGTTCCTTGTTCAAGGCGGCAGAAGAATCTGATGTTGTCTGGGAAAGGTTTCTGCCCCGTGATTATCAATCTATCATCTCCAAATCTGATGCTTCTTCTATGCTGCTGGCTTCTGCTTCTTCTAAGAAACATCTCTATCTCAAGCTTTGTGAGAAGCCCTTGATTATCGAGGGTGGCAAAAAGGTATATTTCTTGTCAACCTTCCTTGTCTTTTTTCACAACCTGCTGGGGGAGTATGGTTTGGTTATTTTTTGAAATGATTTTTATTTAAAAGTATATTAAATAAATTTTATTTTTATTTTTTAAAAGTTATTTTTGATAAATAATATAAAAACACAACAAATTTAATTAAAAAAACTTTCATTTTTTTAAAAAACACTTTTAAAATATAAAAATAACACCAATAAAAGTGTACAGGATAAGACGAAGACAAGATCATTTCACATCTTGGATTGAGAAAATAAATTATATTTGATGGTAATTTGAAATTATGAAAGGAAAAATCTAAGGAGAATTATCTGGATGGAAGAAGATTGTTCTGACATAAGAATTTGGATATGAAAATGAGATAAGAAAAAATAAATTTCGTAGTCCCTTCTCCAATTGGATCAAAATGGACTTAGCATAACAAGAACAAATTTTGGTTCTTCAGAGAGAATTTTGTAAGATGGACAAAAAATTTATATTGGATAAGTGGGATGGAAATTTAGATTGGAGAAGAGATAATAAATTATGTTCTTTTTTTGGAATAGAGCATTTCATTGGAAAAAAAGAGTGGGAAGAAATGCTACATGCTTTCCGCAAGAGATCTGATAATTGTATGGGGTGATACTCCTACTTACTGGCAATGGAATTCTGATCCTTCCTCCAGGTTGGTTTGTCTTTCTTTTTTCACTTCCCAAGATATAGTTTTTTTTTTTTTTTTGGTGAATGTGAAATTTTATGATTTTGTTGGATTCTCCTAGATTTGGAGAAGTGGCAGAGCTGATTAGTGTATGTTGGCTTGAAATCCGTGGAAAAATCAATGCTACTATGCTGTCTCCAGCAACATTATACACAGCCTGCCTTGTGTTCAGGCCAACAGGAGGACTTCATGGATTAGATAACCAGCCAGTGGAGGTGGGGGTGGGACTTGTTGGTAGTGAATGCGGTAAGAGAAATGTGTATTTGGATTCAGAGAGAGGGCGGCGTCAGCAATACCATTTTGTCAATAGGCGCATCGGCTTGTTCAACCGTTGCCGAATTGTGGGGATGCCAGCATCTGAACCTGCCAGAGAAAATAATGGACAATATCCAAAGAAAAGGGGAGATGGATGGCTGGAGATTGAGTTGGGGGAGTTCTTTTGCAAGGAAGGGGAAGGAAGAGAACTGGAAATGAGTGTTCAAGAGGTTAAGGGTGGTGATTGGAAAGGTGGGCTGATTGTTGAGGGGATTGAGATTAGGCCAAAAGAGGGTAAATAAATAAAGGCTATTGTTTTTATCTTTTAATAAATAATGCTGTTTGCATCAGAATCAAGAGAATTGCTGGTGTTATTTCATACCTTTTAGTATCTGCATCTGCAATTTTTCATTTTTGATGCTTGCCAAGGATATCCTTCGGTTATTGTAACAAAAATTTGGTTCATTTCCCCCCATTTTTCCTATTTGGCGATGCTGAATCTTGCTGTCATTTTAGTTTTTTGCAAAGTCTACGAAGCTCTTTCAATGAAACTGTCCTGTTTTCTCTCTGTATTTGTGTGCATAAAGCACGGCCTCGGTCTTCTGATTAGTTTTAAATTAACCTAAGATCCAAAACCTTATGTTCAAACCCCTAATGTAACAACTCAGTAAGAAGCATGTATGTAAATCCTGTGTTTGGCATTGCAACTTGATGGGTTTTTTTGGTCATATTGCTTATTGCCTAAAATGGTAGATGATCGATGCTTCGCAGATATTTCATGATGTTTATCGTCCATGAAGATTAGTTATTCACAAAATAATTTTGTGGAGGAAGTAAAGAAAACTATATATGTTCTCATCATTGGCAGTGTTATTCCATCATAATTAAGAGTTTTTACTGGTGTGATTTTAGCTGCTATTAGTATCTTCTGCAAACTTTCATTTTGATTTTTGACCAAGGATATCCTTTAGTTATTGTAATATAAATTTGGTCAATTTCATGTTGATTATTAAAGAAGGCGCATTATGATCATTAATTGACTGGATTTTCTCTATGATAGTGATGCTTCTTGCTAACATGGATGGGATGTAAATGCTCAAATAGAAACCTGCATTGTCTTCTTCCTTTCTTATTCGTCTTTGATTTTCATGGCCGGATGTGTTCATTATTCTAGTTGCTGGGGTTGAACTCTGCTTCGTTATATCTGTTTGTTCTTGTTATCTTCTAAAATCTTCTGTTTGTTGCAGACACTTGAAGAGGTTGAATATGATGAGTTGCAGCGATGCTTAAGTTCAAGCTCAGGTGGTCATACCATCATCGGATTGCCATGAATCCCAGGTTATTCATTGCAGCTCCTCTCAAGAACCAGAGCTGATAGCAGGTTCTTTGGATTTCTCTGAGGCTGAATGTTTTTTTTTTTTGTTTCTTTGTAGTGATTTGCTTGGATTGAGACTTGGTCTTAATCTCAGGTTGCAATCAAGCTTGCATAGGGCAGGATGTTCACCCCTTAAATCACAGTTGTAAAACTACAAATTCTTTTGTTGATTTAGTAATTGAAAATTTTCCAGGAATTTTTCCTGTTAGTTACTCTCTTCGATCGCAGAACAGTTGCTCTGGCAACCCAGTTCAAAGTCATCGCATGCTAGTAACATTACAGAAAAGCATCCCTTCTCATTAATTGAAAAAGCATGATAGGTGCCTATAAAAGGAAGAGTCCAAGAAAAAATCTTGAGATCATGGATAGAGAATTGATACAATGATACTTCCTTGTATCTTCCTGACCTGAAATTATATGAACTTACAAGAGGTGCTATGACTATCTTTTTCGCTTACAATCTCCTGTGTGTTCTTATGAAGTTTGTTGTGTTCATTGCAATTGCAGTTGAGCATGCATAAACTCCAGCTAAGCACAGACTTGCTGATACTAAGAGAAAGGTCTTCCATTGCCTACCAGATGCTAGAATGGCCAATGCAGTCAATGCAACAGAAATTGCAGAGAGGGCATTTTTCCAAGCTTGGAAATTTTTTACTACACTAGTGCATCCCTTGCAATGAATTACGTGTCTGAAATATCGGTTGTTCACATTGGGTGCGTGCATTGTTCCAATCCCACCTTTTGCTGGTGAAGAAGCTGAAACTCCAGCAACAAGACCAGCTGGTGCATGTTCTACAACAGCAGGTACTTCTGGCAAAGAAATGGTGTTGTGGCCAAAATAATAAGGCATTCCATGTCCAACTTTGTCCATCCATTTCCTGTATTCAGCTACCCATGTATCTGATGACTTCAAATTAATGTACAATTCCTTTGTTGGAACCTTTTCTTTCATTAAAACTTCATTCTGTGATGACAGAAATCCCATGTCTTGCTCAAAGATTTTGCACGCATTTTGATGGAAGTACCATTTAGGGATCACCTTTGCCATTTGAGGTCTTTTTGTTGCTCCAAACCTGACAATGATCATGGATTTTCCTTGTCCGGTTGGTCTGCAAAGAAAAAGGCCAGTGAAGTACTGTGTCACCCCCTTCTCATCTGCAAATTCTATGTCGTTGGATAGAACACACGGAGCTTGAAACCGTAAGAAGCTTAGCAGTTTTTGATCCTTTTCCTTGCCCCACCTCCCTGCAAAACCTCGATGGGTGCGTTCAGTCACCTCAAATCGCAGTGCCTGGGCATCCTCCCTTTTGGCAGTCCAGTCTGTCCTATCATGTGAGATTGGAATGTGTGCCGGATCCATGAGGTTTTCAAGCAGTATGGAGTGATCATATGGAAGCTCATGAATGGTTGAGGTATCTTGAAATCCTGGCCTGGCAAAGTTCTCAAACCAGGGAACCTTCTTAAAGTTTGGTGGTGTCTTTAGTGACATCCATACCCAAACAACTCCTTGTGATTCCTTCACCTCATATGTCTTAACACAAGCTGACTGAGGAATTTTAGCATTTGCAGGAAGCTGTAGAAGAATTCATCAACATCCGTGACTGGAATATAAATGAGGCTTTTGTGCTAGAATTACTGGCATATTAAGAAATGCAAGAATCATAGGCAACTGATGAAAATAAATCCACCCTATGATAGAAAAAGACAATGCACAAAACAAAGGAAAATGAAAGACAGACCTGAGGTATTTTTACACATTTTCCCTCCCCTTCAAACTGCCAACCATGGTATAGACATTCAAGTCTTCCGTCGATCAACTGACCTTCTGATAGTTTCGCCAACCTATCATCAGGCAAGTCAAAGTTTTTAGGTTCTGTTCATTGTGCAGTTGATGTTTCAATGAATTTTGAGGTTACTATTCTACATCAATAATTAAAAGGATATTTATGTGTTAATCAACAACAATTACAAGCTTCCTAAAAGGGTACGTTGTCAAATTTCCTACAGCCAATCAAAATTAATCAAGTGATGATCAAAAGAAGAATCTAAGCAATTCTGTTATGTCTCTGGACACTCAAGTTAGGGATCCAACCAAAACAACAGCATTGAATTGATAAGTAGCAGAAACTAGAGCTCATGCTATAAGATACCTGTGAGGGCACCGATCTTCGTGACATCGCAGCTCACCTTGGCCATCTTTATACAAAACTAACTGCTTATCAAAGACATTAAGACCTAGTGGTGCATCATCTGGCACATCCTTGGTGAGGTAAAGCGGATACCACTCTTCTGTCCAATTATAGTCTACCACCGCCCCATCCTCTCTCCTTTCCTCCTCACTAGAGGGACCGATAAGAACCCCATGAGCATCATCTTCTGCATCAAGTGAAGGAGGAATGGCCGTTGGGGCATCTGCAACTGCATGACACTTTTGTATGTGGTAAGGCTTTGAGTGTATTGATTTAAGCAGGTGGCTGTTTATGTGTATTGTTGTCGGTAGTTTAGTGGTGGGGGAGAAGGAAGCAAAGGGGTTCGAGAAATTTTTGTGGGAGAGAGATAGGTGCAGTGATAATGCCATGGAGGAGAAAGGAGGAGAGAAAGAGAGGCCTGTAGAAAAATCCACGAGTGGAGCCTGTGGAGAAGAGGAGGATATTGATATTTGGACAGCAAGTTAAGTGGGTCAGTTAGTCATTGCCTTGCAAAATGTTTGTCCATTCCTGACCACACATCTTCCTCTCACGTGGCTTTATATTTTACTTCACAAATTAGACGTTAAGGTGAAGAGTCTGCCAGAAGCTTTGGAGATTAAAGAAATCCGACAGCAACTCTCACTTTGTCCAAGTTAGTCATGGGCCATCTTCAATTTTGGTTCTTGTGAGAATTTATACGCATTGAACATGCTTGGTCTCGGAGAAATTCTTTGGTTCTGCAAGCCCCCATTAACCAACCGACTTGAACTGCATGAATTGCAGAAAATGATGCAGATAAAATTCAAATATGAAACATCAAACTTGCAGCTCCTATTACTGACAAGAAAACAAGAAAGAGAGCATGTATAATTCACTTGATGATATACACACGTTTGTGAATGTTGTTCTATCATCTTCCTCTGCTAAAACTACAGAAACAGACTAGATGTTCACGTATAGCTGGCTCAGAATCTTCTGTGTTCTTATGAAATTAGTTGTGCTCATTTTGACAAGAGTTGGGCACGCTAAACTCCAGCCAAGCATAAGCTTGTTGAAACTAATATGAAGGCTTTCCTCTGCCTTCCAGGCACAAGAATAGCTAATGCAGTCAATGCAAGAGAGATTGCAGAAAGATCTTTTTTCCCTTTGAAGCACTACTGCTTGTCTTGCAATGAATTACATGCCAGAAATATCGACTGGCCAAATAGGCAGCGTGCATTGTCCCAAAGCCACCCTAAGCTGAAGCTCCAGCAATAAGACCAGCTGGTGCATGTACTACGGCAACACGCAATTCAGGTAAAGAAATGGTGTTGTGCCCGAAATGATAGGGCATTCAGTGTCCAATTCTGTCCATTTCCTGTATTCCGCTACCCATGTATCGGAAGACAAAATATTGAGGTACAATTTCTTTGTGGGGGGAGGGGGGGGGCGGAGCTTTTCTTTCATTAAAACCTGATTTTGGGATGACGGAATCCCATATCTTGCTCGAACACCATGTGCCCCTATGATGAAAGAACCATTCGGGGATCCAGTTTGCGATTTGAGGCCTTGTTGTTCCTCCAAATCTCGCAAAAAGCATGGATTTTCCTTTTCCAGCAGGTCTGCAAAGAAAAGGGCCTGTGAAGTACTGTTTCACTCCCTTCTCGTCAAAGAATTATCAGTTATTGGATAGGATACATGGGGCTTCAAACCATTACGAAGTTTGGCAATGTTTGGGCATTCCCCCCACCTCATTACCCTGCATATGCTCGGTCATTACGTTCAGTCACCTCAAAACGAGGTGGCTGGGCGTTCTCCCTTTTTGCCGACAGGTCTGTCCTATCATGCGAGATGGAATATGTGCTGGACCCATCAGATTTTCAAGAAGTATTGAGTGATCGCAGCGAAGCTCATGCACGGCTGAAGAATCTCAGAAACCTGACCAGCAAAGTTCTCAAACCAAGGAAATTTATTTACCTTTGGTGGTGTTTTCAGAGATATCAATACCCACACAACTCATTGGGATTCCCTCGCCTCGTAGGTTTTGACACGAGCTGATAGAGGAATTTTAGCATTTGCAGGAAGCTGTAGCGAAAATTGTAATCATTAACCAGGATATGGAAAGACAAGGAGAGCATATCATGTAATGGAAAATGAGCGCATTTACAATGAAACGGACCCGAGGTATCATGGCACAGTTACCCTCTCCCTCAAATTGCCAACCGTGATAATAGACATTCAAGCCTTCGACCTATCAACTGACCTTCTGATAGTTTAGCTAACCTAAATCAAGCAAGACCAAGTTCAAAGTTTTATCACCTCTGCAACTCATATCTAAGGAACTCTATTATTTTGATATGGTTTCCCACAGCCATTTTGAGTAAGACTACTGCATGAGGAGACACAATAAGCTGAGACATCTTTTCCATCAAATACAGAACATCTGCCGATGTTCAAGAATTTCTGCTTTTTAGCATCAGCAATACAGCATCCCCATGCATTCAAATTCAACAGAATCCGATGTTCAAGAATTTCTGCTTTTTAGCATCAGCAATACAACATCCCCATGCATTCAAATTCAACAGAATTTATATAAAACTGCATTTATTTAACAAGTAATGGAGATTCATGAAAGAGTAGCAGTCAATGGTCTAACCAAAAATTCTTTTAAATCATGGAAACAATCCAATACTAAACCTAGACAAAGTTAACTTCCCATGCTAAGGCTTAACTCGGTACATTAGAAATGAGGAGCCACCCCACATCAAGAATCTCAACTTCTGTGCTATAGTGATTAGTGCCACAACCTAGCAAGTACACTAAATTGTTAAGTTCAAAAAAGATATCATCAAAATCATTAAAAAAAATAAAACACTTATTTATTCCACAATAATAAAATTGGCTTTTCAAATGACTTCTTTCCATTGGAATATACATAGTAAAAAAAGCTATATTTATATTATTCAAAATGCTATTTTATCAATTTGACTCTTTAAAATAGCATCTCCCATTAACTAAAGAAACCAATCAAACCACAACCCAACAATTGAATTAATAGCAACAAGCAATCAAATCATGTGGGAGTTAGTCATGCAAACTAAAATTATGGAAAGCTTTGGAAGGTCAAGAGTTTAAAAACATGTGTAGTGTTTTGTGTCTAAATTCAACTCCCATCACACACACACCTTGAAGTTGCTACCTTGGTAACCTACTCACACTCTCATTTCTCTCTTGTTCTGCTGCTTGTTCTTGCCTCTGTTTAAAGAATATAATGGTTAAATATCTCTTTAATGTTAGGAAATTGTCATTTTATGGCAAGACACCACCACTATGCTTAGTGGAAGCTAATGTTGTGCCACCATTAGTGCCATGTTTCATGACTTTTGTTCACCATTAGTGCCATGATTTATGGTCTCTTGTTTACCATTGTTGCCTATAAATTGAAGCATTATTTGGAGAGCATGTAGAGAGAAGAGAAGAAGACAGAAGGGCTGCAATTGCAGAAACTGCTAGTGCATCAATAAGAGATAAGAGTTGAGTAGAGTGAATGTGATCCTCCCCCTCTATGTATTTGTATCATATTCTTTCTTTATCTCTAATAATATGGAACTCTTCCATGGATGTAGGCAATTTGCCAAACCATATTAAATATTGTGTGTCAGTATGCTAAGTCTCCAATAGGCAATGATCTTAAGCATTAATTGTAGGGGATTTTGACCAGTGGTGTTTAAGATCATTGCCTATTGAATGCTTAACACACTAGCACACAATATTTAATATGGTTCGGCAAACTACCTATATCCATTGGAGAAGTTCATATCGTTAGAGATAAATCGAGAAAGAGTTACAATACACATGGAGAAGAAGGATCACTTCCTCTCTTGACTCTCATTCCTCATAAACTGCTGCATAAGGCAGCAGAGTTGCTGCCCCTTGGCAGCCACTACTTTTTCTCTTTTCCTCTCTTCTCTTCACACTCTCTTTCTCTTTCTCTCATTCCTCATAAACTGCTGCATAAGACAGCAGAGTTGCTACCCCTTGGCAGCCACTGTTTTTTCTCTTTTCCTCTCTTCTCTTCATACTCTCTTTCTCTCTTATTTTGCTCTCTAAATGATGTTTCTATTTATAAGCAATAATGACAGACAAAAGACTATAAATTATGGCATTAATGATGGACAAAAGATATGAGACATGACACTAATGGTGGCACAACATTAGCTTCCACTAAACATAGTGGTGGTATCTTGCCACAAAATGAAAATTTCCTAACTCTTAATATGTGTCATGCTTTCTGCCCATTTCCAGCCATGTTTTCTGCCTATTTCCATTAACGTTTTGGCTCCATTCTTCTTCCACTTCTTAGTGTGGCAGGTTTAGTGGAGGTGGGGTCTTTTATCTCCACCAACCTAACATAAATATATCCTGATCTTCACTATATTTAACCTATTCAACAGCATATCTAGTAATTTAATCCCTTTTCTGCAAATGTAAACCATTCCCACGTGACATTTCGTAAAAGTTGCTTCAAAGTTCTATTTGAAAGCCACCACCCATACAATTTGAAGTTTAATTAAAAAAGGTTCTCATTAACCTTTTATACAACACACTTAGAATTAGCCTTGAGACATGAACTAGAATCTCTGAATTAAAATTTTTATTTTTCAGTGTTTCTTGGTCACTGATACCATAGTTCCTATAGCCCAAAACATGAAGTGCAAGAACTTCCAGCTAATTCACTATATATCCAACAAAATCCTCAAGCATAACAAGAGAAATCACAACAAGATCATCAAAACAAGAAACCAAGAAAAGAACTCCAATGCTCTTTCCTTACAAGTAAAATCAAAGCAAGATCCAACTTCTCTAGTATTCAACACAAGACTGAAAACTTGAAACACTGTGATATGATTTACCTGTGGGTGCATTTATCTTCAAAACAACGAAGTTCAATCATATTCTAGTATAAAACTACCTGCTTATCAAACACAATAAGGCCTAAAGGAGCATCATCCGGCACATCCTTGGTAAGATAAAGTGGGTACCGCTCTTTTATCAATTCATCGTTTGCATTGAAAATATGATAATAATTATTTTTAAAAATATTTTTTATTAGAAAATACATCATATAATATATGTTTTTTAATTTTTTAAAATTTATCAACCTAGTAGAACTTATTTAGGGAGTCTTTATCTATGTTATTGTATCTGCGTTCTGCTTAAAACACAGATACAACAATATTTAATAATAAAAAAAATTAAAAAAAATACTATTCATGAATCCCATCTAATTTCACATTTGAAACACTAAAAAATGATATGCAGCATCCCTCCACAATGTTCACTTCAGTGAACAATTTAGTAACAAAAAAACATAAAATACTATTTATTAGTCCCATCTAATTTCATGTTTTTAAAATTTGTTTTCTTAAAAAATCAGCATCTCTCCCCGTTTTAGCGAACAGTGAACAGTGTGGAGGGATGCTAATTTTTTGAATAGTTTTTTTTTTAATTTTTTTTGAAAAATTAGTTAACATTTTTCTTTTTCAAAAAATAATAATTTTTTTAAAAAATTAATTTAAGATGAATTAAATTTATTCGAATTGAATTTTATTTTTTATTTTTTTAATTTATAATCTATATTTTAAAACTTGTTTGAAAGTATGATAATAATTATTTTTAAAAATATTTTTTTGTTAAAAAATACATCACATAATATATGTTTTTTAATTTTTTAAAATTTATCAACCTAATAAAACTTATTTAGAGAGTCTTTGTCTCTGTTACTGCGTCTGTGTTTTGCTTAAAACGCAGATGCAACAATGTTTGGTAACAAAAAAAAATATAAGATAATATTCATGAGTCCCACCTAATTTCACATTTGAAACATTGAAAAATGAAAGCAGGTTCTACGTGCTTCTTGCTATTACACCATACAGCATCCCTTCACAGTGTTCACTTTAGTGAATAGTGTGCGTACACTGTTCACTAAAATGAACAGTGTTTGCTTTAAAAAACAATTAAAAAAAAAATCAACATCTCTCCATATTATTCATTTTAGTGATCAGTGTAAAGTGTACAGTGTGGAGGGATGTTGATTTTTTAAATAGTTTTTTTTAAAAAAATTTTTTGGAAAAATCGGTTAACATTTTTCTTTTTTAAAAAATAATAATAATTTTTTAAAAAAATTAGTTTAAGGTGAATTAAATTTATTTGTACTGTAATCTCAATTTTATTTTTAATAATATTTTACTTAATTTTATTGCATGCTCAAAAAATTATGAAAACTGTAGTTTTTGTCAGTTGAATTTTATATATAATAGAATTGTAGATAGTTTAATGGAACAATAATTTTTTTATATATATAAAGTATGATTTTATTTCATGATGTAATAGCAATAGTTAAATTTACAATATTTAAATTAAAAATCATAAATATTAATATATATTTTTTAAAATTATTTTATAACCTCAATTTCAAAAGCATTCTTAACCAAACACATTAAACTACTTTTTGTTCAACCTCAATTTCAAACACAATTTTAATCAAATACCTATTTTTTCAAAACCAACCTCAATTAAAAGTACTTTTTATAAAATAATTTTTTTCAAATTACAACCATAACATCAACCGCAATACCAAACACACTCTTAATCTAGTCACGCAACTTGATTAAATTTAATTAACATAATTAAACTTTATGAGTTAATTCTAAATATAATTAAATAAAAAAACAAAACAACACTATTTTAATAAAAAATAATTTAACTAATAACCCGCATATTAACCATTTTCTACACTAGTCATCGGGCCACGCATGACAAACACAAGGAATGGGGAATACTTTGATCCATCCTTGATACGTGAATTCCACCATAGCAAAGCGAAGGACATCTGATTCTACGAAGAACATCACCGGTCGGAATTTCCCAACACTGCCTACCATAATTCTACGAAGGTGAGTTATTTTCTGCCTACCAAACCCTTACCTCATCATACATTATTCGAAGAAAATAGAAACAAATGAAGTTCCATACACATAAAATCACCCATGACAGCTCCTATCAAACTAGAGAAGAAAGATTGAAAAGTGAGTGCACAAATAACCTCATATCCTAACCAAATGACTAAATTTATGAACAAATGCAGAAGGGTTGTAGTTATATGCCATTGTTGCTTGCTAGGTGCATTGATGCCCCTATTTTTCTAACATTTGGAAGCACTATCTTGTTTTGAGAGCAGAATTTGGATTTCTTTCCTGTTCTCATAACAATGAGAGGGCTACAATGGAGCTTGCCGAGAAAACCAACTCATTCAAAGTTCTTCATCCACTAGTCATTGAACAAGATTGGCGAATTTCCCCTTCCTCACCTGTTTTTACTCCAATGCTTGTTAGCTTCAAAAATGACTGGCTCCAACTCTGGAAAAACTTCTCTTGATCATTTGCAAAATCCTGTACTAGATTCCTTGTTCTTTTGTCATCTAAAAGAACTGAATCTGATTGGAAAAGGCCCTTGTGGGCCACTAGGTTTCGGTAGTACTGATTGTCAAATGATGAGGATGTTTCAGGATCATTAACAACTGTTATTGAAGCGCTTGCATCCACTGGACATCTTTGCATTAGTTCATTTGCATAATTCCTGTCTAGAGATGTGTCGATGAGTGTGAGCTTCCCCTTGGAGTCCTCTTGGAACCGATCACTGAATGCGCTGCAATGAGCTGATCCTATAGTGTGAGCTCCTGCAAAGCAAAAGCATCAAGCCTGGTAAATAAACCATTTATCACAGTAGTTTTCGGGTGCAATAAGTTCTCCGCATGGAGAAAACAAACAGCCGATGGCTTGGCCTCTCCTTGGTTAGTTTTTCGATCAATGTCAGAAGCAGATAGTCTAGCTATTTGCTTGGTGTTGTAAAAGAATCTTGGAATGAGGTTTTAGATTAATTATCACATACCTGATAGCACAACAAGGTCTTCAATAGATAATCCTTTAGCAGTGAAGATGTTAATCATCTCATTCATTGTAAAAGTCGTGTCTATAATATTAGGTCTCACATTTGCGGCTGCCGATACCCTCCCATCTCTCCTACCAGTTGGAATCTGAAGCTGAGGTCCACCAGTCTGTTTTCATGTACTTCATAAATGAATAACCGATCAAAAGAAGCATAGAATTCAACAAGGAACAATAGTAACAGTGAGAGATATTACAATTGCAACAGCATCTCTAGCAGCCAAAGCAACAACATCAGCACAAGAAACAGTTCCTGGACAGAAGATTTCAAGCATTCTTTTAGCTGAATCAATAACTTGAAACCCTCCGAGAGATCTGTTCCCTGGATCACTTCGCTCAGTCCCATTTCCTTGCAGCAGCACGGATGCATCGCAGCCCTGTAACCATGACATCTAGAATTGAGGAGTAGCCACCAATTCCGTAGTATAAGAATATGATTTCAGTTTATTCTTGGGTGCTGATAAATCAGTTGTTACAATTGGATCACAAAAAGAGAATTCTTGGTGTTGCTTCGGCCAAGTGCCTCAAATGGTGTTGCCAATTACAGCTAATCATCCATGACTTCTTGTGAAACAACTCAAGCAGAGTCTACGAAGAAGCCCTTGATGATTTAAAAGAAGTGACACATGACAGTTTATACTGTAATAGCTCAATCTCCAAAATACTCTAAAACAAGTTTTTTTTTCCTTCAATCATCAAGAAGTCAAGAACAGTTTATTCATCAAAATCATGTTGCAGAATGCCTGTAAGGATTTTGCTTAAAGTAATGAGGAATACTTAATTAGATGGCCATGATTCTGAAGTCGTTTTTCAATTAAACAACTGGTGAAAAAGAGCTTGTAGCCTAAATTCAATCACGTATTCTTCCCCATGAAGGAAGAAATTAGTGAAATGCCGTGTGGAAAATGTTGTTTTCTGGCACTCATTAAGATAACACAAAACACACAGCAAGTGAAAAAGACTCACCTCTACAAAGCAGTCATGGAAAACCAAACGAAGTAGCTTCCCTGGGATGGTAGGGTCTGAAGAGGAAGCTGATCTAACTGTGTTTGAAACGATAAGTTCAGCAGTTGGGCATGAAGCTCCATAAAAGTTGAAAAAGAGACTGGCAGAAGCAGGGGGAGCAACAACAACAGCATGTAAGAGACCAAGAACCAGAAAACTACACAAATGAGGTCTTGCAGAAAAAGGTATAGCGTTTGTCTCCATGAGGATTTTCTTTCAGTGTTCTTTTAGGAAAATTGCAGACAGCATCAGTCATCACTGTTGCTCGTGTCTTGCTTGACGTTGATACATTTCAAGAGAGAAAAAGGACAGAGTCCTCTGCATTAAATGTTGCATTTACATTGTGGGGTGCTGTCATGAGGTAGATGGGATGTTAGACAGCATCACTCTATTTATGTCTTCACATTTTCTCATGCTTATTGGTGTCTGTGCCTTTGCAGCCTCGATTTTGAAAATTTTGTTTTTTTTTTTAAATTAATATTTTTTAAAAATTATTTTGATATATTATATTAAAAATAAATTTTAAAATATTTATAAAAAAATATTTTAAAAAATAACTATCATTATTATTAAACAATTCTATCAAATCCTTCCAAACCATATATGTGATTATTAAACAATTCAATCAAATCCTTCTAAACTATTTATGTGTAATGGCTATTTGCTATCGTGTTTTTAATTGTATTTAAATAGATTTTAAAAGTGTATTTGCACTAAAAATATATAAACTTAATATTTTTTTAGTACTTTACATAATTTTAATGCACTGAAATAAAAAAAAAGCATGAACTTTTTTATATTTTCAAACAAAAAAATATTTTTAAAAAATACTCAATTCTTGTTATTTTTTTGACAAGTCTGTTCTATATGAGAAATTTTGAGTTCATTGAGTGCTTAAGAAAGAAATAGAATATACTAGATCCTTAGTACGCACTACACTATATTATAGATAAGATTAATCAAATCTAATTCCAGTTATAATATGTAATAACTTTATAAAAATAAAATCAAAATAAATAATAAAACTTAATTATAAATAAATAAAATTAAAAAAATTTGTTAAATAGTAAAATTGAAAGAAAAACACCTAAACATAAAAGTTAAAAAATAAAAAATTATATTAGAGACCTTGGCGATATTATCCTTATAGGTTAGGACTTGTATAATGCTTTCCAATTTGTTGAGTTTTAATATAAATCATGATATATGGGTAGCTTTCGCACAACCCTTTCCAGCCCAAAAATCACAAACCATCCATACGTTGAGTGAATCATTTACCAATAGTTTATCTCTTCAAACTTTAAAACACACCTTCATAACCCGAGCCAAACCTCGAAAGGTTAGTTGACCGCTGACCAGAGTTAAAACAGAGTGGCTGGCAGGTATGAGTTGACGATTGCTAGCCCTACTAGCCCACGAGCCTGAACGTGCACGTTTCATAATAAATTTTAACCTAATTGACCAGCAAGCTAGCCCAGGCTGGTTCTTGCCCTACACATTTATTGTCATCTGGACAAGAAAAATCAATTAAACCAAATCCGAGATTCGTTGAAGAGTAAAAACATCCAAAGATTACAAGCATTGCACAATAAGTATTGCCCCTAACAAGGGCTACAAGCTAGTAGGTTTCTTGTGTTATTCTCCTCTTTCGCCCATGGCTGAAATGTCATGGACTCTGCACTGGACATAGACCATTGCCTGGGTGGTTCCTTCCACCATGACTAGCTTACTTACAATGGTGCCTGTCAGAAAACCACCACCCTCTTGCATGGGAACATGATGGCTGAAGTCCATGTTCTCCCTCTGCTCATGCAGCATCAAATTACAAAACAACAAAACCATATTTGTCCATGCTAGATTAATCACGAGTTGAAATGACTCATCCGAGCAGTTAACTGGATGGCTGACTTTTTCGATGGTTTCCAGTTATGGCTGATGTGCCAACTAATTTGGCCAATTTTTGAATTTACAGGCAATGGTAAGCCACTTTTTCGCTCGCTGCATGCTTCCAGTACATGCCTTGCCACCATGAAAAGTTAAACAAACAGCCTTTCAGAAAAGGTTTAGCCACAGTTCTATAGACCATTTCATATGCATTTTCCATCAGCAAGAGCTACAATATACAGTCATGTACTTTGGATTACTCATCAGTTGGAGAATAACAGCTGTACAAAGTATCAACCTCATACTCATAGAAAGGGATCAGTGAATGCACTCCTGTACCGAATGTTTTTCTAGTTATACAGGGAACAATGAGCATCCACTGAGATATAAGCTAATAGTTTATACAGAGTTATCTAGGATTGTGGTTGTATCAAGAACATGTATCCCACGAAAAATAATCACCTTGGCATATGGATAAGTTGTATTTGACAGTGATAGGGCATTTTTCATCCAAGTTAATATATCATAAGGCTTTAGCAAAGAAAATGTCAGTAGCATGAATCTATACAAGTTTCAAGCCCAAAGAACTTTCATTTCAGAGGATATGTTGGAGAATTATATAAATCATATCTTAGGGCATCACTAAACAACTTAAGCTTTTAGGTTAAGATAGTTCTTTAACAAAAAAAAATAAAAATAAAAATGAACGGTAATACAATACATTACCATTGTGTGACTTTCTGAACTACTCTTTTCTAGTGTCCACATCATCAGCTTCTTCAAGTTCTGATTCATCCACATCATCAATAGGAATTTCTTCACTATTATGAACAAAAGAACCTGCATATTTGTAAAATTGGTTTCAGAATAAGGAGATAAGAAACACCTCTCAGTTGCCAGACAGCAATGAACTGAGTAGTATAAATAACAAAGAATCAAATCTGAAATTATATAGGCACATAATAGTCTCTATATATCAGCTGATGAATCCAAATACTGGCAGAATCACAAAGTCACAGACATCTATAAATGAGAAAGAGGGCAGGCAAATTAGTCAAAATTGTGAGCTTCAACAAGGATACAAAAACCTTTTCCTTTTTTAGCAAAGGTAGCAGCTATCTACAATTATGCTAAACAAATAAAACTCCTTTAATAATTTCCTTCTCACGGAACCCTTCAAGGATTAAGATATGCAGGATAGGATCAACTTTTCTTTTGGTATAATGTAGCCTCTCTTGATACTATTGGCTTGAAAACATGAGACCAGTGCATGTGACAACCTTAAAAAGTCACCTGAGATAGGTCTGGCTTAAAGAAGAAAATCAGCCTAAACAACACAACACAAGAATCCTTAAAGGAGTTGCTCTTATATGGGGTTCTATACCCTCTAACAAGAACTATGAAAGTATGAATAGCATAAATGATCCATGTGAAAATCATGACATTGTAAATCAAATTCAAACGCTTCAGTATCCTAGGAGGTAGTGGAAGGACTAGACAATGTCTCTAGCCTTGAATTTGTTAGTATTTTCAGCTTCCATAATGGCACATTGGGCAAGCATCCAAACTGCAGGAATATGGAGTCTAAATCTATGAATAGGTACTGGAAAAATGACAATATTTACCAAAAAATCCATTTGATGTAAAGATTTAGTCAACTACTGCTTTGGTTTCACAAAAAGCTTTGGTCAAACAGTCCTTCACTTACTTCTGGTAAGGCAGACAGATTAAAATTAGCATTATGAGAGGGAGTTACACTTTAAATGCATCTGCTATAGGAAAGTTTGAGCAGTTAGAGAAATATATGAGGTAAAGGAAACCAAAGGATAACCCCTTGTTTCACATGAGAAGGCTAAGATTTCAAAGAAGATCCCAAGTTGGGAGCCATTCAAAACTTATTAGCACAACAACATTGACAAGGAAAAGCAAGATTACACATTCAAGGAGTCTAAATGTAAGGGTATTTCACATCTTCAACCCAAGACATAATAATAATTTTACCTCTCTGAATTAACTGGGCAGCACTAGGACTACATCTTCCTTCTCTTGATTCTGATGTGCTGTCCAAAAGATATGGAAGTTCCAGAAGCTGCAACAATGATTCTGTTTGAGGATTCCTTGGACATCCTGCAGTAAATTTAGAAACAAAAAATTCAAACAGAATCAACCAACCATATGACAAGACCATATGCGTCTTGATCATTGCATATTGAACTATAGATGTACAAGCCCAAATTATCTACTCATCTAACAGAAATGCAAGTCAATCAGAGACAATTACAACCTGAAAAGTATAATGCTCAATGCCATCAACTCGAGAAAGAAGATTTGGACCAGAAACAGAAAAGTCCATTAGGACATAAATTGCAAATCACTTGAAAGTACAAAGCTAAAGAGTTTAAGCAAAAGAACATGGACTTGGTGCCCAACCACATTGACTCCAAGCATATATGTGTAGACTTTAATCACAAATTAAAGCACTTCTAAGTATCAAGTTATGAGCTTGGCACACAAAAACATGGATTCAGATCACAAATGCAACTTAGCTTGTACATGGAACACAAAAGAGGCCTAAACTTCAATTCATTTGTTAAATCTAGTCATGGAAACACTACTGTACTAATTGATATGGTCCCAATAATTGGTCAACAAATGTTATTGCTCTATAGGGTCCATATTTAAGATGCTAAAATTAAGAGAGTTTATATGGATGATGTGTAATAATATGGGTCCATATTTAAGATGCTAAAATTAAGTTTATATGGATGATGTGTAATAATGTATCACCATTACCAGAAAAGGAACCATTTGGGTCTGATTGAGTGGGATCAAAAGGTGGAGCAGTCTGTGTAAATTCAAATGGTTTGGTCCCTCTTTCTTGTAGCCTGCTACTGAAAAATTGCCGACAATCTTCCATTTCAAGCTGCGTAGCCCTATCATATCAAAACATAGAGTTAAGTGTGCTAAAAGATGGGGAAAACAGGAAGTGAGAGAGATATCAAGCTAAATCATGATAAAGAGAATTTATATGTAATACGCACCCAAAATTTGCATTTTTAAACGTTAATGGAAAGATAGAGTTGAACTTCCTCGTTATGGCCAGCCATTCTTCATCATATTGAATTTCATAAGGTCCAGGTTCCGATTCTATTTCAATAACCTGCAAAATCATTGGAAGCCAGAACCAGTGGAGTAAGGTTCCAACTATATTAACAAAGAAAGACACTGTAGACAACAATCACAGATTACAATAAGTACCTGTAAAAATTTGCGACGCGGAAGACACTTGTCAAGTGCAAGAAATTTTGTCAATGGGCCACCTTCACCATGCTGAACAACAGCGGCAAATTTGCAGTGCAGATGAGCAGAAAACCAATATGCAGGTCTCAATTTTTCCAGCAGTTGAGCAGCAGCTTTACTTCCAAGAGTTTTTTCTTGAATCTGAAATATTACCAACCACATAAGCAACCACCATCAGTTTGAGCAATCAAAACATGTTTATGGATGATGAAAACAAGCTTGCACTAAAAGAACAAAAAAAAAAACATGATGAAAACAAGCTTGCACTAAAAGAAAAAAAAAACCCTCCTTTAATACATCTACTAGATTGAGTGCTTATGTCAGCAATTTTAATCTTTTAACCACAAGAAACATTTTCAAGTTTTTTTTTCTCATTTCATTCAGAAAATCCCATGACTTGATATAAACCAACAAACTCCAACAACCTAACACTAAAAAACACATCAATAGTCGATCAAATTATAGAACAACACCCACCTCTTTCTCAAAATGAGGTTTATACCGAACAAGCTGCTTCCAATTCCCACAATCAGTTATCCCAACAGGCCAATCATGTGAAAGAAAAATATCAATCGGTTCCTCAACTTGCATCAGTTTATGCACATCATACTCACGAACATGGTACACTGATCTTATACTGCTCTCATTGTATGGCGCCCTCTCATGATGTCCTGCTCACACAATACTTCACTCAAATCAAACACTAAAAACACAATAACCCCTACTCAAAATCTATCATCCTCACAACAACTCATAAAAAAACACAATTATAACAACCAAACAATACACAATTACACGTAAACATTACATTCTTTACCTGTACGATAATTGCGTGCATTATAAATACCGGAAAGCCCACCAATTCTAATATTCCCAAACTTAATCACACCAGCAAATCCCAAAAAATATATATTAGGCGCCGCATATCCTCCATAATACCTAAAAAAATTACAAACAATTACACATATACTAATTATTAAACTAAACTATATACAATTAAAACTAATTAATTATACCTACAATTCCCATAAGTAATTAGAAGCTTCATGATTTCCACCGATAAATATCGTAGGAACGGGAGCAATTTCTCGGCCTGAATAGTACTTCCAAAACGACTTCATCTCCCGATATTTTAACGGCACGTTCAAGCTCTCCATGTCTCTCTCGTTTCTCACTGCCTAATTAACAAAAACGAGGAAGAATAAGAAGAAAAGTGCTATGTTTTGGTGGAAATTAGGGTTTAGGAAATTCCTTTAGTACCTGAAAATCGCCGCAGCAGAGGAGGAGGTCGATCTTGGTTCCGTTTTGAGATTCGATGAGTTTGAGTGTTTGGTAGACTTTGTCCAGGTCGCCATGCATGCATCCTTCTATTGCTATCTTCATGCTTCTCACTCTCTGATTTTGAATTTGCTGTTAACAGGAAAATTAAGCTCAATCCCTGGGGTTTGGTTGAAGGTGACTGACTGACGGATAGTTATTTTGTTTGTACATTTCGGTCCTTTTTGTTTAAAGAACTTAGCTTTATAGGATATAAACTTTCCCACATTTCATGTTTATGTCCTTTCTACGGAGTATTTCGTGTCCGTTTTATCTACCATTTAGGTGATAATAGTCATACTTCTAAGACACCATATGTTTTTATGTTTATAACTATATATAATTTTCTTCACTTAAAAATATTAATTAATATTTATATATTTTTAAAATTTTTAATATTAAAAATTAAAAATATTTTAATATATTTTTAAATAAAAAATATTTTTAAAAAATACCTTAAATTACAATATCAAACATATATTTAAACTCGTTTAAATACTTAACCCAATAAAAAAACTGAATTATTTAATTAGATGATCAAGTCATTGGTTATTAGATAAATTATTTTCTATTAAAATATCATTTTATTTTTCTTTTGAATTCATTAAATTCAAACTCCACTAACTTTAGTTAGAATCCAATCATTTCTGTTAAATTTAATTAGATTAAAGTTAAAACTAGTAAGTTAAAACTAGTATTTTAAGTTAAAACCTGATCTTAACCGAGCTCTGACTCATATATTTCCTGATATTAAAGAATCTCAACAATTAATTTAAGTAATTAAAAAAATACCAAATTGACAAATAATTCTAATAAAAAATAAATTGATAAAAAACAAGGACCGTCCTGATACTTTGCCTCCTCTCTGTCCCGCTCTCCGTTTCTTCCAATTCGGCCCAATCCATCTGTTATCCCGTCACCAAAGCCCAACAAAGACAAATCAGTAATGGCACATTCGTAAATTCCAGCCCATTCATCTCATCAGCCAAAAACCCTAAAATGCACGGACACTTACCTCTCCCACTCCTTCCCCGTCTTCTACATTCTACAGCAAGCTGTGCAAAGCCCTCCCACCTCTCTATCTCCTAAGCATCCTCTCAGTTTCTCTCTCTATAATCTAGAGAGAGAAATATCGATTAAACGACATCTAGCAATGGGAGAAATATCACTCAACGAATTAGAAGCGAGAGCCGATGCGGCTGGTATCGATCTTTCGCAAATCGACCTCGATTCAATCCAACTTCCTCCTGGCGATGATTTTGGCATTATTAGGTCAGTTTTTATTATAAAATAGCTGTATCAACTGTTCTTGTGTTTTTTTAAGTTTTGTTTGGCTGCTTAGAAAGCAAAAAGTTAGTTTTTTCTCGTTATTTGTTTAGTTTTGATTCATTATGATAAGACTTATTAATTAATTAATTTTTTGTTTTATTGGGGGAATCTAGGTTTGGATATTGTGACTATGTAGTTTGTGCTTTGATTATGATCTGTTATTTTACTATTTGGGTAGTGATGATGAAGATGTCTATCAAGAAGAACAGATGGATTTTGACTATGGGTTAGGGAACACTATTGTAGTCGATAATCTTCCAGTTGTTCCAAAGGAAAAGTTTGATAAGCTTGAAGGAGTTGTCCGTAAGATCTATAGTCAGATTGGTGTTATTAAGGAGGATGGCCTTTGGATGCCTGTTGATCCTGACACTCATAAAACCTTGGGATACTGTTTCATCGAATACAACACTCCACAGGTACTGTCAATATGTATGAGTTTATGCATTTACTTCCATTTCCTTGAATTTTTGGATGATTGTTAGTCACTATACTTTTCCTGCGTCCATATGATCAAATGTGGTTTTATGTGGCTGACTAGTAATTATGTCACAGTAGAAATGTGAAGTAGCATAGGTAGTGATTAAATGTACTTTACATGCTAATATAGAGCACATTTAGGGTATCTATGCTAATAAGTGCTGGCTTTTGAAGTCTTGGATAGGTAGCAAGTGTTGTGTCTAGCATACTATACATAGCATAGTTAGGGCCTTGGATCTTGTCTGGATGAATGAAAGTACTGTCTTTTGAAGGCTTGATTGCTATTAGAACAAGTTCTTCATTTTTCTAGTAGAAAATTGATGAAACATACTTAGGCTTGTGCCTAGCATGTCTGAGGTCCACAGTCAAGCAGGTTTTTTTAATCGTTACCAATTCATTGGTTATGATTGCAGGAAGCTGAGCTAGCTAAGGAGAAGACAAACGGGTACAAGCTTGACAGAGCCCATATTTTTGCTGTCAATATGATTGAAGATTTCAACAGATTTATGAAAGTTCCTGATGAATGGGCACCTCCAGAGATAAGGCCATATGTTCCTGGGGTAATTAGTTCAGTAACTTTCATCTCATCCTTTCCCATTTTCTTTTCTGCTATCAACATTGCTGGATGATCTGATTCTCTACTCTTTCAAGCTTATCAACTAATGTTCCTAACAGAGAAAGAAATAACAACTTAGACCATAGACATGGTGTTCTTTTGAACTTCCTGGAGTCTATTTTGTATTAAATATTCTGTGACTTGTGTCATAAACAGGAGAATCTTCAAAAATGGCTCACTGATGAAAAGGCTCGAGATCAGTTTGTGATTCGTGCTGGCTCAGATACCGAGGTGTTCTGGAATGACGCAAGACATTTGAAGCCTGACCCTGTTTACAAGCGTGCTGTGAGTGCTTTGTTTTCTTTTGATAATCTGACGAGTTTCTTTTTTTTCTCACGGCTTAGAAAATGCACAGACTATGGTGAATGACTTTACATGTTTATCTATACAGTATTGGACTGAGAGTTTTGTGCAGCGGTCCCCCCTTGGGACATACCTGGCAACAGTTCATAGGCAGGGTGCTGCAGTTTGGGGTGGTGCAAGTACCTTTAATCGGCTAATGCGTTATGCTCATCCTCAGGTTTTTTTTTTTTTTTTTGCATCTCTTTCCTGTAATTTGACATGGAATTTTGTTTTTCTGTTTAATAATACCCATTCTGATGATATCATTTGCAGGTTAAACTCATTGATTTTTCCCCTGGTGAGAAATATTTGGTAACCTACAGCAGCCATGAACCAAGCAATCCTCGTGATGCTAATGTGAGTTTTTTCTCTTTTCTTGTTTTCTCCTTGCGGTGTTGTCAGTTTACTTCTCCATGGTGCTGGGACTAATGTGCTCTTTTTTTTTCAGAGGGTTGTGATAAATATTTTTGATGTGAGAACTGGAAAAGTAATGAGAGATTTTAAGGGCAGTGCTGATGAATTTGCTATTGGAGGAACTGGTGGCGTTGCAGGAGTCTCTTGGCCTGTTTTCAAGTGATTTTCTTTTTCCACAATATCCTCAATCTTATAAAGCTTCTTGTTTTCTTTCAAAACTAATTTGTCCACTTTCAGTATTGATCACAAGGTCTGATTTGATATTTCATGCTTTCCAGGTGGGGTGGTGGGAAGGATGACAAATATTTTGCCAAAATTGGGAAGAACATGATTTCTGTGTATGAAACTGAGTCATTCAGCCTTGTAGACAAAAAATCCTTGAAGGCTGAAAGTGTGGTGGACTTTAGTTGGTCACCAACAGATCCAATTCTTGCTCTCTTTGTTCCTGAACTTGGTGGCGGGAATCAACCTGCCAGGGTGAGTATTTAGGTGTAAAATGGATGGGCTGTTTTATTTGCAAATAAAAGATCTGACTTGTGTTCTGTATTCTCACCAAATTTATAGGTGAGCCTTATTCAAATTCCAAGTAAAGAGGAGTTGCGACAAAAGAACCTTTTCAGTGTCAGCGACTGTAAGCTGTATTGGCAGAGTAATGGGGACTACCTTGCTGTGAAGGCGGATAGGTATACAAAGACTAAGAAAAGCACATATACAGGATTTGAGCTTTTCCGTATAAAAGAGCGGGACATACCAATTGAGGTATTGGAACTAGACAACAAGAACGACAAGATTATTGCCTTTGCTTGGGAGCCAAAGGGCCATAGATTTGCTGTCATTCATGGTGACAGCCCCAGGCCTGATGTAAGCTTTTACTCAATGAGGACTGCTCATAATACTGGTCGGGTTTCAAAGCTCACTACACTAAAGGGCAAACAAGCAAATGCTCTTTTCTGGTCACCGTCTGGTCGTTACATAATACTTGCAGGACTTAAAGGTTTCAATGGTCAGTTGGAATTCTACAATGTTGATGAGCTTGAGACAATGGCAACAGCTGAGCATTTTACAGCAACAGATATTGAATGGGATCCCACTGGAAGGTAGTGTTTGATAGCATTGATGAGGTGGCTATTTGGGCAATCATAATATTTTTGTTTTTCAACAAGCAAATGAAATTGCTAATCATATTTGCAGTGTTCGATATGTTTCCTTTTTGATAGCTTGAATCCAGCTGATCCATTGTTATCGAGCATGTACTATGATTGTCGTAATTGTCCTGTATGCAGGTATGTTGCAACTTCAGTGACTTCAGTTCATCATGAAATGGAAAATGGCTTCAACATTTGGTCTTTCAATGGAAAGCTACTTTATCGGATACTGAAGGATCATTTCTTCCAGGTAAGATCAGTTATTGTTCCGTCAGAGTCAAGATTTTATCTTGGCAGTGCCTTTATTATCAACTTTAATTGGCTGGAGGTATTTATGCATACAATACCAATATTATCTGTGTCACCTTGGTGTTATCATGATTTCAGCAGCAGTATATGTTGAACAAGTGTGCATATCCTGGAGTCTGAACCTTTTTTTAATTATTATGAAAGGAGAGGATTGAAAATGAGATCTCTTAAGAGGCAGGGAGGGGGCAATTGATTCAGAAGGCTCATTAGCACTTGTTATTTTACCACTTTGATAGTATCATTGGTCGGTTCTTACTTGAGATTGATCAAGAACTTGAAACATTATGTCACATCATTCTGATTCATCTGCTTCTAATCATTTGCTTTCCTGTTGATTTTATATCATTTATGACAGTTCTTGTGGCGCCCAAGGCCACCATCCTTCTTGAGTCCAGAAAAGGAGGAAGAGATTGCTAAGAATTTGAAGAAGTATAGCAAGAAGTATGAGGCAGAGGACCAGGATGTGTCTTTGCTATTGAGTGAACAGGACC